GTCTACTTGAGAACGAGGAGATCCGCTGCCTTTTGTATTGTTCGGGAATATTTTGAACTGATTTCAAAAAGTTGGAGGTTTTTCTAGTTGGAAAAAAGTTTTTTAACTGCCCCGTCTCCCTGCCCCCCACCCCCTGGTGCTTGAAGCCCGAGCGTTTGCACTGGGCTGCATTCCCAGTGCTTCTGAGACGTGACCTCGCTGAACTGTGCGGGCTGGGATGAAATTTGCGATCCTGCTGCTGTGTGCTCTTCCCTTGTGCTGGGGTTGCTGGCGTGCGCTGTGTTGTGACCTACGACTGCATCTGTAATGTACCTCACAAGTCCTTTAGACCTATTGGTAATTGTTTTTTTCGGAACCGGGGATTGAACTCAGGCCCTTGCTCTTGCCAGGCAAGCGCATGTTCTATTGAGCTATCCTCCCAGCCCCACTACTGGTAATATTTTTTGTTGAGGTGGTAGTCTGCGGATTTTTCTTTTTCTTATATTTTTTCTTTTCTTTTTTTTCTTTTGACAGAAGTGCCCTCATTAGAAAACATGTATAATTTAGCTGGTGGTGAATTATTTCTTTTTTCTTTCTTTCTTTCTTTTTTTCCTTTTGGGATTTTTGGTTTGGTTTTGTTTTCTGAGACAGTGTAGTTCACCCTGGCCTTGAACTCACTATGTAGCTCTGGCTGACTTCGCTGGGATTACAAGCACCCCCAGCCCCCTGCGATTCTCTTTATCTTTATTGGGATTACTGGCAGTTTTAATGGCATTTGCTCTAAACTGGTGTACTGAGATCTCCAAAAAAAGTTACCAGATTGCGGCCACCAGTATGTATGAGTGATAAACTTTGGAGTTTGGAATTTGTTTTCCAGGGCTGGGGATTAAACCCAGAGGCACTCTACCGCTGAACTACATTCCAGCCCTTTAAAAAAATTTTAGACTCCCGCTTGCTGTGCTTCTCAGGCTGGGCTCCAGTTTGTCCTTCTGGATACCTGGGATGACAGGCATGTGCCACTCTTTGTGCCTGGGTGTATTTTATAACCGATTAATGTTAAAGTAGTAAATTTTACTTCAATTGAAAAGGAATTCTTTTATTGAAATTTTAGAAATTAATTTTTTAATCACATAGTTCTACTATCTAAAATTTCCATTGTATCATTTTATATTGCCTGCTAATTGTTGGATCAGAGTAGTGAATAAGTCAGACCTAGTTTTGTGTTTTAGTGTGTGAAGTAGCTGATAGAATAAAAACAATTAAGTTTTAAATTATAGCTTCTTTTTTTTTTTAACATTTATTTATTTAGTGTGTGTGTGTGTGTGTGTGTGTGTGGCCAGCTCAGCCCACCAGGGGGCGGGGCTGGCTGGCATGTGGTGCTGGGGGATTGAACCGCAGTCCCTGTGCTTTCCCAAGCTTGTTCCAAGTAGGTGCTTTAGACCACTGAGCCATCTCACCAGCCCAATTATAGCTTCTTAATGTTTTGGCCTCAGAGTATCACAGGGCCACCTAATTAAGATTGGGACTGCTTTGCTGAGCAAAGTCACTTCATCTATAAAATGAAGATTAGCTATGGGGAGGATAAGATGGACAGAGAGGTGAAGTAGAAAAAGATTATTCCAGAAAGATGGAACACCTAATGAAAGAAAGGCCTGGAATTGAGACTCTTGGGCCCAAAACAGTGCAGTCCTAGAGCAGAAGAGCACCTGGAGTGGGCATCCATAGGGTCGGGCAGATAGAACCCGAGATACAGTGCTCGCCAATTAAAGACTTAGAAACAGTAATCAGATTTGGGGTGGCTGAAAATCCATGGCCGCAGCTTAAAGAATGGAATTGTTGGGGTTGGGGAAGAGAGAATATGGGGATTTTTCCTCCCCAGCTGCCAAAGCTTTTGTTGGTTAATGATTGGTCATACATTCTCAATGATCTCTGGATTAACCCTATTAGAGAAAATGGCTTGTAACAGCTTGCTTGTCCTATTAATAGTCCAAGTGAGAGAATCATACCCCTACATGGGATAACATTTTTTTTCTGAGATTTGATTTTTCACTTACACTTTCTGTCAATATCTAAGTCAGTTATATTTTTAAAACAACAGTAGTAGGCTGGCCAGATAGCTCAGTGGATGAAAGTCCCTGCTTAGGCAGATGGAGGGACCAGGGTTCGATCCCTAGCCTGCAGTGCCAGCCCTGCCCCCCCAGGGCTCAGTGAGTAGGTGATTCACACTGGGCATGGTGGTGTGTGCCTATAATCCCAGTGTTTGGGAAGCTGAAACCAGGAGGATCACTACTAGTCTGATCTGCATAGTGAGACCCTGTAGACCCCATAGACCATGTACTAAATACAAAAAACAAACAGAACCCCAAAACTAGTGCTATGTTGTATAGCATTATATTCATCATAACTTCCCTAGCTCTTCACCTCTTGACAGTTGTATTTAAATTTTTTTTTCACATATGATATCCTGAAAAATCCTTCTTGTAACCCCATAAGTAACTATTTCTGTAAGCATTCTATTAAAAAAAAAAAAAAATTGGTCCATTAGTCTATTTTAAAATGCCCCCGTGCCTCTTTTGGCACTACTGTGGCTTGAACCCAGGTTGCACTGGTACTTACAAACTTTGCTTTTCTTTTTTGGTTTTGAGCCAGGGTCTCCCTAAGTCTCCCGGACTGGTCTTGCCTCACTCAGCCTTAGGAGGATCTGATCACATGCGTGCACTGCCACACCATGCCTCGCTTTCATGCTAACATTCTTAACAGCACATTCAAGTTCTCATATCATTTTTAATAATGAAGAGAATAACACATACAAGTGATTGTTTCATCTTACCACTATCTTGAGAGACTTTTACTTGTCAATATCTTTTCTTTATTTTTAAATTAAATTTTATTTTTTATTATATTTTTTTTAATTTTTATTTTTTTGAGACATGGTTTTGCTATGCAGTTCAGGCTGGCTTTGAACTCACTATATAGCCCAGTCTGGCCAGAAATTCTGTGATTCTCCTGCCTCAGCCTCTGGAATCTGGAATTCTTTTACTGCTTTCGTTTGTTTGTTCTTTCTGGCACCAAAGATCAAATCCAAGGCCTGTACATTCTAGGCAAGTGTTCTGTATCACTGAGCCACATCCCCAGCCTTGTCTTATTTTTTGATTTGAATTTTCTTGATTACTGTTAGGTATCTTCATATAAATATGTTTTATGTATCTTTTTTGTTACCCTTTTTTGGACTTGTTACTTTATTTATTTTATTTTATTTATTTATTTATTTTTTGCGGAACTAGGGTTTGAACTCAGGCCCTTGCGCTTGCCAGGGAAGCACTTATTCCACTGAGCCAGCTCCCCGGCCCCCTATTTGTTTATTTTAAATTGGGTTGTTTGCCTAAATGAGTTGTAATAGTTGTTAATTAAAATACTTCAAAGTTTTTCAGAAAATTGTTTAAAAGCTTTCATCCTTCCAATACATTTCTGGTACTCATTTCTTTTTCACTTTAAATCTTCAGTCTGTCTTTTATTTATTTGTTTATTTTTTAGTACAGGATCTGCAGGCTCTCACTACACAGATCAGACTCATAGTGATCCTCATGTTTTCAGCTTCCCAAGCACTGGGATTGCAGATGTACAGTTTATTTTTATGTAAAGTACTTGCATAGTTGTATAAAAAATTATTTTTTGTGATACTAGATTTCATCATTCAAAATACAGTTATTAAGTTTTATACCTAAAAGTAAGCTGTAGGGGCCAGAGAGATGATTCAGTGGAATAAGCACTTGGCTGGCAAGCACAGGGGCCTGAGTTCAATACCCGGTTCCACACAAAAAAAAGCAAGCTGTATTTTTCTTTGACAAATTGACCCTATTTGTGTAGTTAAATCTGTTTGCAAGCTGTCAAGAGGATGTGGAACTCAAAAAAATTATAATTACATTACCTATAACCACAAAATGGTAGTACATTTTGAATGTTTTTCCTTTTAAAGCTTCTACTGTAGAAAATTTAACATATATGAAAATAGAAGAGGGGCTGGGCTTCCGCCACAGCAACCATTGAAAAAGGGTAGCCACGGCCCTCCGCTATCCCATGGCCGTGGGCCTCAACAAGGGCCACAAGGTGACTAAGAATGTGAGCAAACCGAGGCACAGCCGCCGCCGTGGACGTCTCACCAAACACACCAAGTTCGTGCGGGACATGATCCGGGAGGTGTGCGGCTTCGCCCCCTATGAGTGGCGCGCCATGGAGCTGCTCAAGGTCTCCAAGGACAAGCGCGCCCTCAAGTTCATCAAGAAAAGGGTGGGGATGCACATCCGCGCCAAGAGGAAGCCTGAGGAGCTGAGCAACGTGCTGGCCGCCATGAGGAAGGCAGCTGCCAAGAAGGACTGAGCCCCTCGGGAATAAAGCTTTGCAGAAAAAAAAAAAAGAAGAGGGGCTGGGGAGATGGCTCAGTGGAATAAGCGCTTCCCTGGAAGCACAAGGGCCTGAGTTCGATCCCTGGTTCCACAAAAAAAAAAAAAAAAAAAAAAGGAAAAGAAAATAGAAGAGTACAGTGAACCTGTTCATGAGCCCCCCAATTTCAGTAGTCATCCTGAATTTGTTTCACCTCTATGCTCACCTCACTCCCTTGTGGTTTTTGTTGTGTTGTGTTGTTTTGTTTTTTTATATTGAGGCTTGAACTTAGGGCCTTTGCTCTGAGCTACATCCACATCCATTTTTATTTTTTATTTTGAGACAGGCTGTCCCTAAGTTGCCCAGTCAAGAGTTGTGTTCCTCCTGTCTCAGCCTCCCAAGTGTTGCGATTATTAGGTGTGCAACACCACATCTGGCTTCCTTGTGTTATTTTAAAGGAAATCCCAGACCCTATGTTTTTTGTTTCTTCTATAAATATTTCAGTCTGTTTCTCTAGAAGATAAAGTGTGTGCATATGTTACTGGGAATTGAACATGGGCTTGTGTTCAACTATTGGAACATCTATTGAACATTTGAACATTTATTTAATATTTTTTTTAAAATGTGGCTGGCCATTTTTGCCCTGCCTTTAGGTCATCCTTCCTCTAGGTCATTATTATTATTATTATTATTATTTTGTGGAACCAGGGATTGAACTCAGGCCCTTGCGCTTGCCAGCCAAGTGCTTATTCCACTGAGCCATCTCCCCGGCCCCAAGGTCATTATTATGATATTATGCTGAGGTTTGTATTTGTATGGGAATCAACAGCTAATATGGCAGTGACATTTGGAGAGGGTTATCAAGCGTCAGAAGGAAGATGGGATCTCTTCAAGTATTGTGCATGTACGTACAAAAGAGTGCAATACTATCATTCAGCTGGTCATTCTGTTTATAAAGGGTCTGTTTGATTCTAAATTTGGGGGAATTGTTGAATTTTAAATTAGCATTTTTGTGTAATACTGTGTACTTGTTGCCCTTTTATAGAGTAATTTAAGCCGTCTAAACACATTAAGCAGTTTATTTTTGAGAGTGAGTATGAGACGTGATTGTGGGGCCCATATTTCATATTAAATGGTTTCATTTAATGTTGACATTAGTACTTTTATCTCTGTGTATGATCAATAAACAGTCATGTTTTGAAAGAGTTAAAAAAAACATTTAAGATAGAGTAAGTATGTGAGTCTCACTGGGAACTGAACACAGGGGCTTGTGCGTGCTAAGTAAGTGCTCTACCATGAGGTTACACTCTCAGCCAAAGAACTTCTTTTTAAAGAGAATTTCAGTGCCATGATTTTACCTAGAAGTGGCAGTAGTCTGGCAGTAGTCCAGTCAGTATGAAATCCAGTTGGTGTAAAATTGTATTTCTTTGGGCAGTTCACATGACAGCTATCATGACTGCCAGTTTATCTGCTTTCACAGCAACATGCCAGTTTATAAAAACAAGAATGATAATCTTCAATTCTTACCTGTTGAATTTTTATATGGTGTTAATATTTTGCTTTTATCTTTATCAAGTTTGTAAACGCATGTAGGTTAAAGTCACACATGACGCCATGTGTTTATTTTGAACTAATTTTATATTTTTATCAAAATTATACCTCTTGCTTAGATTCCCCCAGTGATAGTCTCTAACAACTTTAAAAAATTGAAACCAGAACCCAGATTTTGTTCTATATTATGATGGATATGTATTTTAAATTTTGTTTTGTATTTAGTGTTGGGGCCTGGGATTAAACCCAGAGCCTCACAAGGCTGAGTGCACCCTTAATTACTGAGCTGTACCTCCAACATTAAATCTGTTTGTTTTTTAATTTTCGTATAGGGTCTCACTAGTAGATCAGACTCGTAGTGATTCTCCTGTTTCCAGCCTCCCGAGTGCTGGGATTATAGGCGCACACTACCACACCAGTCTCAGTTGCTGCCTTAGCGCCCCCTGGGGGCGGGGCCCGCAAGGCTCGCTGAGGGTCGAACCCACCCCTGCGCTGTGCCTAGCAGGTGCTTTAGTCTGCTGAGCTATCTGGCCTGCCCTAAATCTGTATTTTGGAATCTGGTTCCTTCACTTTTTCTCTTGCGATTTATTTGTAGAATAAGACAAATTAAGTTTTTAAAAATGAATTGATGTTTTTCTCTCTATGTTTCGTTCATTTTTTTTTTTTAGCTGTGATCTTAAAATTTCATCAATCTAAAATGTGAATTTTACATAAATGATTTTGTGGCACAATAAAGAGGGAAACAAAGATTAGAAAATCAGACTTTGAGTCCTCCTTGCACAGTATTCACCGTTTACTAAATAATACTCCACAGAACAAGACAGTGCCTGAGGAATCTTTCTTAGGATCAGGTAGGATTATTTATTAGATATTTGTTTCTTAGGATTATGAGCTGTGCTGGATAACTAGCTATTTAGAGGAGAGCTTGTGTCCTCAAATTGCTTGCAATGAAGGGGACAGATATTAGTGATAATTATAACCTGGTTAGTGAAGCAATAAAATATTTTCGAGGTTCGATGTAATATGATGAATGACTGACATTTTGGACACCAAAGAATTTTTTTGAGAGATGATGGAGTTGAGTTAAAAGGAGTAAGCAGGGACTCAACTTTCCTAAAGTCTTAGAAATCTCAGCTAACAAGGAGGTCTCACCTAAGCAGCTGCAATGAGACCAGTTAACAAGATGCTAAAGGAGTAATATCTAGAAGACACTCTGGAGTGTGTGATGGATCCAGAATTATGGGTGATGGTTTTATAAACTGGAAAGCTATCTAAAATTTTAGTTATTTCCTTGGGATTGGTTTAGTTATGCAGGAGTATTTATAGTAAAATATGTGTGATAATCTTCAATTTATGGACATAGTACTTATGTTTTAATATGGTAGTATGTTTATCTTAAAATTAGTTTTATGGTTTTTAAAAATCAGATTTATAAATGCATACACTTGAAAAGGTCATCTACTTTGGTAATTTCTATTGAAAAAGCAGTGTATTAAATTCCATTGTTCCTCTCTCAGGCAATCACTTTCATATTTAAATAGACATGCTTTTAATGCTATGTTTTGATTTTTAATTTTAGGAATTATTTGAACTGTTAGAGGCCAAGTCATGTAGTCTAATTTGATTATTTTTCCTTTCCTGGAGTTAAATCCTCTTTTTAAATTTTATATTTTGGCTTAATATATGTGCTTATTCTCAAACTCTGCTAATTACACAAATAAGATACATTAATTAACAAAGCAACTTAGTTTCTATGATGTTTCCATTAAGTGTTTCTCCAACCTATATTTGGTGTTTTCATAGCATGCTAGCCATA